CACACTGATTTGTAAAACGGGAAAACATATTACAGAAAAACTAATAATGACAAAACTTCTATTGTGACTTTAATCCTATATTATATAACTGTAGAACTGATGAAAACTAAATAATCAGTTATTTCACACACACACACACACACACCTGTGCTAAAATGTGTAAGTGTCCTCAACAGTGTGCGCAGATAATTTTCTTAAGAACAAATCCCAGATAAGAAAACATTGGTGAATCGCACTATCTTCACGAAAACTTCCCAAGTGGGTTTTACAAAGAAATTTGTTTTCAAGAATGATTGGTGAATGAGACCCATTGAGCTCACTGTGTTTCTGCCTGGAAGACTACAGAATCACACATCAGAGTTACACCACATAATTACTCCCCTCGCTGCCCATTATTGTGATCACAGAGTGATGGATGCCTCCCCTCTTCTACAGACAACAGCTCTGTTTGGTTTCTTATTCTACTGTAGTACTTCCATTATTCTTACTGTAAAGCACGTGATTGCAGCTGTGAAGTAGGAAAGATGCATCTATTAAAGTGGCAAGGCAAATGGTGAACAGCAGAATGAACAACAATGAATGTATGCGTTTAGGAACTTCTCTCTACTTCACTGTACACATTAGGTATGTAAATGGTCTATGTATATAGAGTTCAGTCCAAATCAGTTTTAACTGTGCTGTCATGACTGTAGCAAAGAGACAAGTGCTGTTCCCACCCTTATCATCCACATCCATTAGCTGACACTACACTGTTAGTATGTGCAGTAAGGCCTGTGTGTAAAAGCACAGTATACTATATGCATGTGTGTAAATGAAAAGTGCCTGGCAGCTGCGGACTGTATGTGGAGGATAAGGGTTTTGTGAGGAATGGTGTGAACAAAAATCTCTCAAGTCTGACTAATTTTCCAAGATTCAAAAGCCACCTGTCCCTTATCCTTTTTTCCCTGTCAGCCATGTTTGCAGAACTCTTAGAGACAGTGCACTATGCCTGCACATGTAGGGCCTCCATATGTGCATGTGTATGAATAGGTCACTGGCCACAGGAGGAACATTATACCAACAGCAGCAACTACAGAAACCAGTAACAACAGTAATGCTAAATGTGCAGCTCATGAGGCTCTCATTCAAACTAAACATGAGCTTTTTTGTTTATTAGCTGATCCTATGTTCATCATCAGCTGTGTAAGCATCTGTTTGGTTTTATCAGATGCCCGATAATTCTCCCTCAGGCTAGACAGCATTTCAACATGGACAGCTCATCCAGATGATGTACAGTATTTGTTGAAAGGATCATCTGAGCTTGAGGAATAACAAGCACTTATTTTCCTTTGCTGAAAAGTTGCACGACTAGGAAGAAACTAATGGAACATCAATGTGGATGATTTTTTTGGCATGGGTGATAACCTTTCATCATGTATGATATAATCTCAATTGTGTCTTTGCTGAACCCTCTGCAATACAGAATACATTTTCTACACATATCCCACTCTCTGGATGCATTTCATTGCTCTGCAGTATTTAATGCACTGTGTCCAGCCACACTGTGGCTGGATTCTCTGATGACCTCAGTTTTTTTTTTTTTGTTTGTTTTTTTTGTAGCTATGAAGTTAAGATTTTCCTGCAAGTTACAATGACAACTAGTGCATCTTTTCTGTTGCTAGGTCAGTTTCCTCAGCTGTATCAACATCCCAGTTTACTGAAGTCTGTTCTCATCCTACGCTCTGCAGTCACCCACAGACTTCTCCTGTGCCCTATCCTACCTCCTGATTACCATCCTCCAGTCAGCACCCACTGCCTTCTGCAGCAATCTGGCTGCTATGCTCCAGCCCCTCCACTTTTCTGACTCATCAGCTTACTAGAACTTACCAACCCTGTTTGTATAGGAATATGTGAATGATCCAATATTGATTCTTAAAACTAGAAAAAAAAAAACTTTCCTTTTGCACATTGTCATTGTATGCTATACCATATGTAGCAGTGGTTCCAGTTGTAAGTGGTTCACTTAGGGATGCATGATGTGTAAAATGTTTACGTTGTAGAATTCAAGTTAATATAATGTGTAAAAAAAAAAGGCTATTTTAACTTAAAAAGTGACAACACCTGGCTAGAGTGTATGTGCTGTCTTGATTCACGGCCGTCTCGTAAATGGTGACATAAATAATTAGTCTATGGAGAGCCAGCAGTTTACCATCTTGACTCAGGATGGTTAGCTACAGATTGCGTCTATGAGGAGGGATAGACTGTGCACACTAATCTGAGCTCTGCTTGTGTTTGCTGAATAGATATTATCTTTGACTACAAGATATGAAGCCATGGAAGTCAAGTGAACAGTTTGTGGTCTACTTTATTCAGTTTGTCGCTGCTGGGTAGCAAACACTAGCTAACAGCTGTCTGCAGATATCAGGCTGATGTCTCATCAACACAAACAGCGCAGACGAATGAGTGAGCAGATTTTCAGTTTCTTCCCTGTCTGTGCTTAATTGAAGCATCTGATACTGACACTCCTGAGCAGCTGGGATTCCTTTTTTTTTTTAATATGCATAATTATAATGGCTTCGCAAGTTGTGCAGGTCTTGTATGCTCAACTGTTTTGCACATGTAAGCCTTAAAAATGAGTCCTGTTTTTTGTCATTTTGTGTTTGTGGCAAGAACTCTTGATCCACTTTAATGTTTGGAATTGTATAAATTAAGGTAATGATGTGCATTTTACACAGTTACACAAAGAGACAAGTGTTGTTCGCTTGGTAGATGTGACAGAAATTTAAGATCCAGAATAAATACTGACAATAGCAAGATCAGCGCTGGCTTTAATTATTGTTTTAAAATTTAAAACACTACACAGCTGTTTGTCTTCTGATTTCATTGCTAGTCATGGCTGCTGTTGAGTTCTCATCTGTATTTGACTTCTCAAAGGGTGTTTGTTTGATATCTATTTATTTTACAGTTTGTCCAGAATGCAACAGGACATCACGCAGTTTGCCAAAACTGAGAACATTGTGATCTTAATCCACATCTGTTGCTTCAGTAACCTCTAAAGTGAAGATCCCTCTACAACACACCTTCTACACTCAGCTAAGAGAGAAGTAATCAAGAGAAACCATCTGAAGTGTAGACAAAGACGTGACACACAGCTGTTCCTCGTGAGATGGCTTCAACTTCCATAAATTTATTTTGGACTTGGGATTAGAGTGAATGTATTTTCACAGGCTGAATGTGACTGAGACCTACTAGAAGAGCTGAGTTAGTCTGTGAAGTTAAGGGTCTATAGTCTGTACAGCAAAAAGACAAATTACTGTGAAAAAAGACAGGGTTTCAATTCCATTGCTAATTACAGCATATCATCCATTATTGTACTCAAATGAACAGTCCACATGACAATCCCATTCATTTTCATTCTCTTATTATGGACTAATTATTCTGCGTTACTGAGGTCCTGTAGAGCAAGTTTCCAAGTTTTCTCATTTATTCTTCAGATACTGCTGCTTCTCTGTTACCTTAATTGATCAGCAGGATGACTGATTGGACTCTACATTAGATAGTTGATCTGTGTGTGTGTGTGTGATATATCATTACAGATGGTGGAAGTGGGTCTGTCACCAGTAGCCTATTGTACTACCCCCACAAAAAATTTTCCCATTCACATTTCCTATGTACGTGTACATGTACTGTAAACAATTAAAATACTTTTATGCCATCAGCTTTGATGTATTAAATATTTCAGTGCGTGTTCAGAAGGAATTCAAACTAGTTTCCAATCAAAGACCACCATTTTCAGCATAGTTAAGCAGCAGGTTGTGAGCGAGGCAGCCTTCCGAGACTAAACTTGTCCTCCAGCTCTAGTGCCCTCACAGCCCGCTGTGTCAGCCCACACAGTTTCTGCCTAGTCGACCATAATATTCTTCTCTGGACACACACAAGCATACATACACGCAAGGTGCACATGGCTGCACAGATAGACTTGACTCCTGTTACATCCAGCTGCCATCATGATGAAAATGAGCTTTGTTTCAATAAAGAAGATTTGGTGATAGTCTCCTTGACCATTCCTCCAAACCACAAGCACTTATTTTTTTTAAACTGAGCTTCCCTCTGTCTCTGATGACATCACCTGTTTCTCCTTTCTCATTGCCAATCACTGCATCATTTGCAACCATGACCACATCACGAATGCACCAACATCAACATATCATTACACTCAGCTCAAACTGAACGCAGAGGTGTAATTTTGGGCACACAATGCTTGAACAAACCGCAACCCTAGAAACCTGGGTCAGGACTGAACCCAAAACCCTCTTGATGCAACATTACACTTTTAGCCCACAGGACAGCACAGATGCAATCAAAAAAAAAAAAAAAAAAAAAAAAACCATATGGTGGTTCTTTGTGGAAATTGTATATTGGTGAGTGAGGGCAGCAGCAAACAGGCTTCCCCTGTGAGCTTGGCTGTGTAATACATTTACAAGCACTGGTGAACATTCATCCTCACATAATCATAGTAATAGTAAAAAGTGTTTTTGTCCCAGATTTAATGCAATTTATTCTTTTAAGCCACAAGTTCATACTAATTCAATTAGTGCTTTCCTCTGCATCAATTTAAGAACAAGTTCTTAGTGAGTGGAAGGTAAAACAGAGAAAAATAAATAAATAAATAAACATTCCAGTCTCAACAGACCACTAGATGGAACATTCAGAATTTCAGATTTTTGTCTCCCCCTTCACCAAGGACCACTGCCACATTTAGACTTCAAAGCAATCCAGTTTAAGTTTGATGTTTTGTGTTTGAAGGTAAGTAGGCAAATGCGTGTGCATTGTGTGTATGTACTCTGCTGTATGTCTGATGCTGGCAGTAGCTACATGCTTTTTTTATTTTGCAGTGAGATAATGCAGGCTGAATCCCCATATGAGTCTGCCCTGCCCCAGAAAAACAGTATAAAAAGACTAGTGCATATGAGCAGTATGGTAAACAAGCTCTTAATTAAATCCATTGATTACACACACACCTCATTCAACTGTGTGGTAGCCATGTCTGAAGGGTCAGCCAACAATTTTGTCAGTCCAAAAGTCTTTCATACTGTAGCCTCTGGTATGATGTAATGTCTGAAAGAGAGAGCGAGAGACTGGCGTAATGTCAGCGTTGTTGTTGTGGGAGAGATTTACTCAAATCTTTCTTTGATCACAAAAACATTTATTCTCTGAAGAAACCCAAAAAGGGAGCACTAGCAGTTTCTAGTTCTCCCACTGCATAACTTCCAGTTCTACTTCCCTGTTGAGTTAAAAAAAAAGGGGGGGCACAACTTTGTTAAACAAAAACATAGTATTTTGAACATCAGATCTTTTGCCGTCTCTTCTAGATGCAGTCCTCTGCACCATTTGGTATTTGGTTGACTTGCTGACCTAGACTGCAGTGAAGTCATGCACCACAGAGAGCATGAAGAGGGTGGGGTTGTATTGAGTGGTAAGGGGGCAGTGCATTGTCATTCTTTGCACAGACAACATTAGAGGAATGCTTAATAGGAAAAATCTTATTAGTATGAAGCACTCTAAACCATCAGTACAAATGAAAGTGCTTCAATGAAACAAAATTATTAAATAATGCTTAACTGACAGATTAGAAAAACAATTCATGTGGCTTTTTTCTTATCTGCTACTACAATGTTATAATTTGGTTTAGGTATAAAACTACTTGAATAAATTCAAGAAAAGTTCATGGTTTGGGTCCAAAACTAGAAAATGACTGTGCTCATGATCTACTAATCACTGTGAAACATTCACAACCTAAAGAACATGCATCGACTTTCAAACAGTTGTCTCCAGTGTCCAAGTCAATTTTATATGGATGCTTAAAGCCCATTTGGTCAGATGTTTATGCTTTATAATACACTAAAGAGCTAAGACAGACATTTAGTTTTGCCTCATTTCTATTGATATCCAGCAGATGTAGCATTGGTTTCAATATTTGGGCATTCTCATAGACAGCAGCTGGCTCAGGTCATCTTCTTTCTGATAAAGACTTGGCAGTTAAAAGCCCCTGAGAAAAAAGGACTGCGGCTACACTCAGCTGTCAGTTTATTAGGCACACCAAGATAAAAGTAAGTCAGTCTAATCCTGCAGTAAATCCTCTCCTTCATGAAAGTGACAGCATTCGGTTATTGTTGCGAAAGTTTTAGTGAGCTGTCGACTCAGCTATGTGTATCTAATAAACTGCCAACTGAACTGAGTGCACATAGCTACAAAAATCTAATATGCTCAGGCTTAGAATTGTATTGTGTGCATTTGTAGGTGAATGTGCCTCTGATACACTAGTCTTTTGGCCACTGTTATACTGTAGGAAGTTAGCCTGCTGCCCTGAAGCTAGTATTGGTATAAAGTGTCACAGCAGGAGAGAACTACCCTTAGGAAACGAGTTGATAAGTGCCATTGGGAAAAACATGACTTTGTTTCTCTGCCACAAACAGCAGCTCTCATTTTGGTAGAGAAAATATAACTACTTTCCATATCCTCTGACATTCAGAGGAGGATCGCAGTGCCTGCAGAACGTCTTCTAGCCACTCTCTCAGTAACAGATGCAAATTTTGCTGGGAATATTGCATTAATATTATTTCAAATATGTCAGTTTTCCAAATACTGTATATTCATCTTACCCTTAGGTTGTGAAGGACTTTAAGAAAAAACATTTCAATCAAAATTTTGTCCAGGTTCGAACATTAGCAAAAGTTCATTTCAACACAGAAATAGGCAAAGAGTGATTTCAGATATTTTAAATGAAAGTCAAAGAATAATGTAGTTTTTTTTGTGATCCAATAATTGTTATGCTATTCCCAAAACCTTTTGATCTTACAAGACACTTTCCCATGTAGAACAGAGATTAGAAAGGAGCCTACAGGGAGGATTCAAGGACTTTGTCTCTCTCTCACCTAATTGTGAGTTCCCTGACTTTAGAATTATTTAGCACAATTTCTCAGGTGTTTGAACAGCACAATGGAACTGGCCTTCTTTCTGCTCTCTGCTTCAGAAACTAAAATACACAGGTTCAAGGATGTGGCTTATTCCACTCAACTATGCTACTTTACAGCATTTCTTTGCCTGTGTGTGTGTGTGGGGGGGGGGTCTACACTTCATTTTTCACTAGACACTGGAGTAAAGCTGGAGGAATCAAGCAGAGATAAGACACACAACAAAACACAGCCTATCACATGCCAACTCATACACACAGCATCAGAAACAATCACATATTTCTCTAAATGTTAAAGAGTAGAAAGGAGGTAACAGAGCAAAAAGAAGTCATAGTAGTCAAGGGGAAAACAAAGAGGATGTATAAAGAACTATCTTTCTGGCCTGTGCCTGGCTTTCCACTACTGATGCCTTACCTGACATCCAGCTAAACATTGCTCAGTGCATTGTTTTTGTGAATAACAGCTCAAGACGATGTGATGTCAGTTTTACTTTTTTTTTTTTTAAAGCATTTTTCTAGTAGGGCCTAACAAAATGGCTTAAGGTTTCATGTTAGCCATTCAATAAACTGATTGCCCTCCTTGTTGTTAAGAGTTGAAATTACAACTGCTTTTATAAGAAATACCATCTGGAGGAAGGTAGAATTTAGGACACGATGTTGGTTTGATGTTACACTGTATAATTTTCTTTGGGACAATGTAGATAACTAGATAAACATTAACACACATTTTTAAGGTGGGGTAGCAACTTACCCCTTGCACAAAATGTACTTTACCTGTTACTGCTGTTTTTAGCACTGGATTTACTGCTTAGTGGACAAATTGTAAAAGACTTAAAATTTTCCATTTTCATGAATCATAAGTGGCATTAAATGCAAATCGAATATTTAATACTATTAACTGCAAAGTCAATGATTTATGTGGAAGATATGATTGCATCCCATCGTCTCTGGAAAATTCTGTTTCTTTTTCCGAGGGCAAAGAGAGAAAGAGGGGAAAAACAAGAGGAGAAATTTTTAAAAAAAGTTTTTGAAAATGCAAAAATAAACCATTACAGTTTAATATTTTGGAAGGAAACTTCTTTCATGACTGGCTAGTAATGGTAGCTAGTCATGAATGTGTGTGTGTGTATATTTGCATCTCATCACCTTCATCCACATGGCAAGCAGCTCATCTTTATAGTTGGAAAGGAAAAGGTCCCATGTAGGACAGGAAGGATGCTGCTAGCAAACAGTCTCCTATGAGATATCCCAAATTCTCTTCAAGGCCCTGAACCATTCAGACATACAGATTTCACAGAATCACACAAGCGAGTGTCTGATTTATCTAATGCATGACTTATTTGTTACTAAACTGCCTCAAACAAACTCTTAAAAAGAAAGCCCATGAAGTCCCATCACTCTGGTTTCAGACAGACAATCTTCAACCACATCTCAAGTAAGACTGCTTCTGGTTGTTTCTGCATCTTCCCGTTGGTGCCCATCTCCTGTGAGGGAATATCCATTCTGCAGCTTCTTCTGCTACGCTCCCGCTGCCACTCCCAACACACACCTCAGTGCTAAACCTCCAGCACGAGACAGCCTCGGCTCACAACCACTTTATCTCTAGTAGCCTAGTCAGAAACCAGTACCCTCATTATTATTTTCCCCATCAGTACTTCGCTTAATTTGTAATAAAAGCACTTCTGACTTCCCTGAATTGATATTTTGTGTTCTGGGACCAGCTTCTCTTTCTCTCACCACTCAGTGAGAGAACCCACAGACCTTACAAGTGGACAATTATTACTCTTAAATGAACATTAAAACAGCATTCTCCTAATGAAAATGCAAAGCTGTGGACTTCATGAAATACATGATATCTTTATCGACTATTTACTAGCATTAGTTACCAAGAGACATTTAAGTTTAATGCTTATTGTATTTAATTTTTAGTTGATGCTTATTGCTGTATCAACTAATGTTAGCAATGTCATTAAAAACTATTACATAATGTATGAGTTAATACCCTAATAAACATGAAAAACATACGTAAATGATTAATGTATCCTTATTGTAAAGTGTTACCATAATTGATTTGGACATGAGATGCAAGAACGAGAGAAATATGTTTTGTTAACTGCATTGCAACTTGATCGAACAAATCCCTTTGGGCAGTAACTAAAGATTATTTCCACCACTGATTCAACTGTAACTGTAATTGGTCTATGTTCAAATTCAGAAAGATGATCACCAAGTGTAAACAGCACAGATGATTTATTTCATAAAATACATGATCAAAAAGGAGAAAGGACTGACAAGTAATGGTTCAGTTTTTAGCCAATAAACAGTCATACTGGTGCATCCAATACATTACAGTACAATAATTGCAGTAAGAGATCATTTTTGATCACTGTTTACAAAGAATTATCTTTTTTTTTTTTATTATATGACAGGAGGGTCTCAACCCTTTGTAACCTAATGTCCATCTTCCCAAAATAAATGAGGAAAAAACCCCACAAAATAAATACTGTAAACGTGTTATGCCACTGTGGCGAGGGCACCGAGAGCCACCAGTGGGCTATGGCCCACTGGTCGAGAACGGTTGTGATATGGAATAAAATGTGTCGGTGCAAATTGTTAACTGCCACAAGCAACTTGCCATACACTGCATTTTCAGCAAAGAAAATGTGTAACATTCTTGCTAAATATGATCATTCAGCCATCCCCACAAGGGAGACATAGCAGTGCAGTTATCTCATCGTGTTGACAGAGAGCTCTATGACGGTCCAGCTGGAGCAACACACAGCAGAGACCAGAAAGATGGACGATGAACTCAAAGTCTAAAGAGTGTAAACCTTTGCTTGCTAGAGGAGAAAGCCTCCCTGTTAAATGAACTTGAGGAATACAGAGCCTCCATTGAGACTGAGCACAGGGATCTACTGGAAGAGAAGAACAATCTCACAGCAGCACTAAAACACACTGAAGAACAGCTTGAGTGTTGCCATGAGAAGAGAAAGAAAAAAAACCTTCCTTGTTCATAAGGTGGAAATGTATAAAGAGCTCTTTATGGGGGCAAACGAATGCCCTAAAGAAGGCTCATATGAAGTATGAGCAGGACAAGGAGATGCTCCTTCAGGCCACACAGGACATCAAGAGTCCCCTGCAGAGA